CACAAGAGCGCCCCAAAGCGGCCCAAGCCGCCTCCAAGAGGCCCCAAGAGGCCCCAAAGAGGCCCCCAAGGGGCCCCAAAAAGTCCCCAAGAGGCCCCCACGAAATCCCCAAGACGCCTCCCGAAGGCCTCAAAGAAGCGTCCAAAAGGCCGTACAACGTCTGGATTGTATTGTTTTTTCTCCTGGGCGAGCCACGGCGCAGCCCCTGTCACGTTGAAATTGGTCACGGCGGCGCCCATGAGTAGAGCCGGCGCTGGGAGGGAAGATGGGGCCGCCGTTTCCTGCATTGCCCTCCTCATCCTCCTCATCGTCGTCATCCTCATTCCTCGTCGGTCCAAAGACAGCTCAAGATGGCCCCAAGAGGACCCAAGAAGCGGTCAAGACGGCCCAAGACGGCCTCAAGAGGACCCCCAAGAGCGCCCCCGGAGGCCAAAACCATAGATTTGCCATTTGGTTCTGAAGGAATTTAGCGTTCTCGCCTTTTTCGCCTCTCGGAAACCCATGACGGCCCAAGCAGCCTCCAAAATGGCCCCAAGACGGCCTAAGAAACTCTCAGAAGGTCTCCACGACGGCCCAGGCGGGCCCTCAGACGGCCCAACTCAACTGGACCCCAACAAAACCACCAAACGGCAGCGAGGGACCCCCAGGACGGCCCCCGAATGGGCCACGCGCCACAAAAACGCCCCAAGACGGCCCAAGACGCCCCAGGAACCCCCCACCCAAGACACCTCCAAGAGGCCACAAAGAAGACCCCAAGAGGCCCCGCAACAACTGGACAGTACGTGGTCCGGACGTGCCCCCCCGCGAAGCGAGAGGAATCTCGATTTTCCATGGGGCGCTGTAATTTGCATGCTTTTGCATCGTCGTCCCATTCGCATATGAACCCATACGGCCCAAAGCCAGCCGGCATCTCCCCCTCATCCAAATCAGGTGATACAATGCGCGCACACGTGCATAGAAATTTTTGTTGTTCCAAAACCCATTGCACAACAACATGACGATGTCCACACGCGCGCGCGCAAATGTCGACAAATTATCCCGGCAAAGCAACCTAACAGCGATGTGTAGGAGCATATCTGGAAGCATTCCCCTTAAGATTCAGATGAGAATCCAGTTGTAGAATTCTGCTGTTCTCGCAGTCGTAGTCGCATTCGCGATGACAGTCGCAGTGGCAACGGCAGTCGCAGTCACAGCCTCAGCCTCAGCCTGCCTCAGCCTCAGCCTCAGCCTGCCTCAGCCTCAGCCTGCCTCAGCCTCAGCCTCAGCCTGCTTCAGCCTCAGCCTCAGTCTGCCTTCAGCCTCGGCCTCAGCCTCAGCCTGCCTCAGCCTCAGCCTGCATCAGCCTCAGCCTCAGCCTCAGCCTGCCTCAGCATCAGCCTGCCTCAGCCTCAGCCTCAGCCTGCCTCAGCCTCAGCCTCAGCCTGCTTCAGCCTCAGCCTCAGTCTGCCTTCAGCCTCGGCCTCAGCCTCAGCCTGCCTCAGCCTCAGCCTGCCTCAGCCTCAGCATCAGCCTGCCTCAGCATTCAAAATGTGGCCCGGGAATGGAGTTCTGGGAACTCGAAGAACACGAAGTGGCCTACAGTTGGCTCCGGGCATTCAAAATCATGCCCAGGAATGGAGTTCTGGGAACTCGAAGACCACGAAGTGGCCTACAGTTGGCTCCGGGCATTCAAAATGTGGCCCAGGAATGGAGTTCTGGGAACTCGAAGAGCACGAAGTGGCCTACAGTTGGCTCCGGGCATCCAAAATGTGGCCCGGGAATGGAGTTCTGGGAAATCGAAGAGCACGAAGTGGCCTACAGTTGGCTCCGGGCATCCAAAATGTGGCCCGGGAATGGAGTTCTGGGAATCGAAGAGCACGAAGTGGCCTACAGTTGGCTCCGGGCATCCAAAATGTGGCCCGGGAATGGAGTTCTGGGAAGTCAAGAGCACAAGTGTGTGACTGTTGCTCCGGTTATTCAGAATGTGGCCTGGGAATGGGGTTCTGAGAGGTCGACGAGCACGAAGTGTGTGACTGTTGGTGAAAAACGAGCCCGGCACAGGCCCGGCCGGCAACTCCCAACGCCTGCCCGGACCCCCCTGTGGAGTGATCTGTGAGCTCTTTTGAATCAACTAGAAACCTATCAGTCTACGCTGTTAGGTAAAAACAAACCAGCCAGTTCTGCAAGCATGTCGCCATTCACGCACAAAGAGCCTTAGGCGTTTCTCTATAGATCGTGCAAGCTGCTTGGCCACGGACAGTAGCTGAAATCATGAGCAAAGGTATGGTCTAAGCAATATCGCCCCCGGCCCCGGCCTGGATTCTCATCTCTCATCTCATAGTGCGGTGCATCCACATTGATCCACCGTCCGCCAAATCGGATCCGTACAATTAGCCTGGCGAAAGACCCAACCATATGCAGTTGTGGGTATCGCATTCGGGGAAGCCCCCTATGGGGCCACGAAGCGCTGTACTGGGTGGGTGGGGGGGGCGCATGCGAACTGCGCCACTGGGACCTTCGGTGGAGCTCCCTATGGGGCCACGAAACGCAATACTGGACGCATGCGAACTGCGCCACTGGGACCTTCGGGGGAGCTACCTATGGGGCCACGAAACGCTGCCCTGGGTGGGGGAACCGCATGCGGGCTGTGCCACTGGGACCTTCGGTGGAGCTCCCTATGGGGCCACGAAACGCAGTCCTGGGCGGGGGGAACCGCATGCGGGCTGTGCCACTGGGACCTTCGGTGGAGCTCCCTATGGGGCCACGAAACGCTGCCCTGGGTGGGGGAACCGCATGCGGGCTGTGCCAGCTCCCCTTGTGGGGGGGAACCGCATGCGGGCTGTGCCACTGGGCGGTGGAGCTCCCTACGAAACGCTGCCCTGGGTGGGGGAACCGCATGCGGGCTGTGCCACTGGGACCTTCGGTGGAGCTCCCTATGGGGCTACGAAACGCTGCCCTGGGTGGGGGAACCGCATGCGGGCTGTGCCACTGGGACCTTCGGTGGAGCTCCCTATGGGGCCACGAAACGCTGCCCTGGGTGGGGGAACCGCATGCGGGCTGTGCCACTGGGACCTTCGGTGGAGCTCCCTATGGGGCTACGAAACGCTGCCCTGGGTGGGGGAACCGCATGCGGGCTGTGCCACTGGGACCTTCGGTGGAGCTCCCTATGGGGCTACGAAACGCTGCCCTGGGTGGGGGAACCGCATGCGGGCTGTGCCACTGGGACCTCGGTGGAGCTCCCTATTGCCCTGGGTGGGGAACCGCATGCGGACTGGGACCTTCGGTGGAGCTCCCTATGGGGCTACGAAACGTGTGAGGGGTGTGCCGAGAGCAGAGGCAAGGAGGGGGAGGAGGGAGGAGGGCGAGGAGGGGGAGGAGGAGGAGGGCGAGGAGGGACGCGGGGCGCTGTCTCTTCAAAACGAGGACCCAACACCACAGGATGGTTGGGGAAAAAACCATGCGGGCCGCGCTTGTGCGCCGCCATGCGCGCGTGTCCAAATCCTTCCATGATCATTGATGTTCGAAGCGTGTCAACATGGAGTTCTTCATTCACAAACTGAAAACCAATTGTCGTTCAACAAAAGAAGCAAGGTTCCCTGCATTCCCGCGCACGCGCACTTTACCATCACCGTCGCCTTCATTAACGCCGCCGCATCAGGTTATCGTCGTCGACAGCCGTCACCGACGCATGGACATCATACTCGTCGCCGTTGTCGCCAGCATCGACACCGTCACTATCCTTGCCGCCATCATCGCCACTCGCATCGCTACTGTCATCATCGTTGCCGTCGTTGTCGGCACCATCATGATGCCGCGACCGCTCGACTCACCGACCCGTATTGAAATGCCCGCGCGCCAGCGCAGGCTTTAGAAACGCTGGGAAGTCCCCATCGGTAAGCGCCATCGCGGCCGCAACGAAGGTGCCAAATCAGCTGGTCGCTCTGCCGCCAGTCTGCGAGCTAGCGCAGCCGCAGAGATACGCCAGCCAGTGCGAAGGAATCACCGCCATCGCGACAGCATGGGTTGTGCAGAACAAGTTGTGAGTGGGAGGGTGGGATGACAATTAATTAATGAGCACTCGTTTAGTGAACTGCATAGCTTGCACCACATAGCTTACACATCCACAGTGCAAGAGCTTACTGTTTGGGGGCCACGCTGCCTAACATAGTGGCATTCCAGGCCCATCGATGCTCATTAGCTGCGCACCTCTACTGCTACTACTCTTCGTAGTCTTATTATTCTTTCCTTAGAAGAGCATACTAAAACCTCGATCGTCAAGCCTTCCCTCATCTCTGCAAGTTCGTCAGGCGACCGATGCCGTGGCTCTTTCACAAGGTGCTCGTATGGATATCATGACACCTTCCCGAGGACCAAATTCGCATCCTGAGCCGTTCCTTGACAACTCAGCGACCCGGCGAGGCCCCCATGAAGCTGACAAGGGCGAAAAACTTCTGGCGTACTTGTCTTTCCCAAGGCGCCATGGAAGAGGAGTATTTCCCCTGGCGAAGAACCCAACCATGTGCGGTTGCGAGTACCGCAGTTATGAGCGCCGCCTTTGTTGGAGCTCCCTACGGGGCCACGAAGCGTGTGAGGGGTGTGCCGAAATCCGTGCGGTGACGCGATTCGAACCCTGTCACTGGGGCCTTCGGAGGAGCTCCCTATGGGGCCACGAACCGTGTGAGGGGTGTGCCGAAATGGGTGCGGTGGCGCAATGCGAACCCTGCCGCTGGGGTCTTCGGTGGAGCTCCCTATGGGGGCACGAAGCGTGGGAGGGGTGTGCCGAAATGGGTGCGGTGGAGCCATGCGAGCCCTGCCACTGGGGCCTTCGGTGGAGCTCGCAGAGGCAAAGAGGGGGAGGCGGGAGGAGGGGGAGGAGGAGGAGAGGAGAAGAGGAAGGAACGCGGGGTGAAACCAGCACCAACATGATTTCTCGGAAGTCCGAGACATTATGGTTACGCCGTGTTTGTTGCTCTTCGGGCCTGGGCCCCTCCCCTCCCCGCTGCTCCGCTCCCAGCGCGCGCCATGTTGCCGTCCTCGTGGTCGTCCGACTCGCCGCCGCCCCCGCCAGCCTGCATGTGCGCGGGCGCCGCTGGCGCCCCAGGGGGCCGAGGCAATGGGGAAGGGCGTCGTCGTCGTTGTCGTCGTCGGCGTCGTCGTCGTCGCCGCAGTCCTCCTCCCCCTCCTCCTCCTCAAGACGCGCAGAACAATACATTGAGATCCTGGTGCAACCGCATTTTGCGGGAGGGGTGCTTCTCCCCCCGGCGATGTGTACCCTCGCCCCCCCCGGGGAAGACCTCTGAGGGAGCCGTCAATGGACAAGCAACAGGAGGAGGAGGAGGAGGAGGAGGAGGAGGAGGAGGAGGAGGAGGAGGCCGTGCCGAAATGGATAAGAAGACTGCACCCAGGCACGTTTGCCAATGCCCTTCGCGCGGCTGCCGTGGTGCCCGTGGCGGACGCCGCTCCCCGGAGGGGAAGCCGCCCTCGTTTCTCCCTCGCCCGGCTGCCCTCTCCTGGCCTCGTCGCCGACTGCTGCTCAAGCCTGCACAGCAGCTCCCCGTCCTCCTCCTCCTCCACCACCTCCACCACCCTGCCGAAAAATGACAAATTGAACTGCATGCGGGCGCCGCCACTGGGGCCCTCGGTGGGGCTCCCCATGGGGCCACGAAACGTGTGAGGGGTGCAACGAAAGGGGGGGTGGAACTGCATGCGGGCGCTGCCACTGCGGCCTAGGTAGAGCTCCCTATGGCACCACGAATCGTGTGAGGGGTGTGCCGAAATGGAGGGTGGATCTGCATGCGGGCGCTCCCACTGGGACCCTCGGTGGAGCTCCCTATGGGGCCACGAAGAGCTGTACTTAGTGCGGAGGGCAGAAGCAGGGATGGGAGGATGCGGAGGAGGGGGAGGAGGAGTGACGCGGGGCGCTGTCTCTTCCCAACGAGGATCCGACCCCACAGGATGGCTGGGAAATACGGCAGGAGCTCTACGGATGGAGGGCGGGTAGTTTTCAAAATGTGGTTCTCGCCTCACAGCCGCACAGGTTCGTCTGAACAGCTTGTAAGAGGTTTGCGAGTGTGTAGCGTATCTCTTCAAACGGTGGTTCTCGACTTAGCGCCGCGCACATTCGTCTTTACCACTTACAACAACTTCACGGACGTAAGGCGGTTTCTTCGAAAAATATGACTCTCGCCCGAGCGCCGTGCACACTCGCCCTAAGAATGTGCAAAGGGCTTCACGGATGGAAGGCAATTCCGTTTCAGACTGTGGCTGCCGCCTTAGCACCACGCACATGTGTCCTAAACGCCTGTAGAAGCTTCACTGCTGGAGAAGCGGCTCCTGTGCAAAATGAGGCTCTCGCCGTGGCGCCGCGCACTTTCGTTCGAACGGTTGGCAAGCGTGCCAATGATGGTGACGGGATAACCTTGAAAATGTGGCTCTCGCAATCGCGCCGCGCACAACCGTCCCATCATAACGTTGTTATGATGTTTAACGGATGGAGGGCGGCCCCTTTTCAAACTGTGGCTCTCGCCTGAGCGGCATGCACATGTGCCCTACAAGCTTGCAAAAGCTTTACGGATGGAAAGCGGTTCCTGTGCAACATGTGGCTCTCGCCATGGCGCCGCGCATATTCCTTCTGAGAATGTGACAGAATTTCACGGATTAAGGCGGCTAATGTTCAACATGTGGCTCTCGTGTTTACGCCGCACACACCCGTCTAAAAACTGTGTACAACACTTTCGCATATTCATATGGTTAACGTTCCGGGAAGTGTGTTCCAGGTCGACTGTGGATTGTCAGGGGGCAGGAATCACGTTGCTTCGATGTGATGGGGGCCCAGGAATGGCATTCTGGCGCGAGGCAGGATCGTCAGGACGAAACAGAAGGTTGATTCGCGGCGTTGCAATCGAAAGAGTGGTTTTGTCACGATTGAGGAATCTCAGACGATTGCCTTCCAACGGGGCACTTCCAGCAGTGATGCTAAGTTCCTGTAGGGACCTGTGAAGAGGGAACTTGGAGGGACTGGTCCTCCTCCTCTTCCTCCTCCTCCTCCTCACCTGGCCCTCGTCGTTGCCCCCGCCCTCCCTGGGCATCCGAAGTCGCGATCGTTTCGAGACATCGCCCCCGAAGGTCTCGACCTCTTCCCTTGAACTGGGCCGTTTCTTGTCGTCGACGGACCCCAGGTCCATGCCGAAACGGGCCTCCCGAGGCTCAGACCACATGGGGAGAGCGGCCGTCGCGGCCGTGGCCCGCCCTCCCCGCGGCCAGGCTGGCGGGATCCCTGGAAACATCGTTGGCTCGGACCGCCCTGAGGAATGCGGCCCTCGGGCCAGTCGCGGCGCAGTGGTCCAATTAGGATGCCGGTGCTGCCCACAGCGCGATGTTCGGTGCCAACCTCGGAGATAATCCTTCCTCCCCCGCCATCCCACCTCATTCCACCAAGCTCCTCCCTCCTCCTGCGATTTTGCAAGTCTCACATGACGGCACTAAGGCGACGCATGATAGAATCATCCTCCTCCCTCCTCCTCCTTGTCCCCCTTCGTCCTTCCATCCTCCCCTCCCTGGTCCGCACTATCTTCCTGCTTTATCTCTCTCCTCCTCCCTCCCCTTCCTCCCCGTCCTCTTGATCCTCCTCCCCTTTTCAATCCTCGTCATTATCCTGTTTTCCCTCCCCCCCCTCTTCCCCCAATCTTTTATCCCCGTCCGATTCTCCTTCCCCCCACTTTTCCATTCACCCCCTTCTTCACCATCCAGCCCATTCCTCCTCCTTCGCGGAAGCCAGAATCCAGAATTGCACCTCCCAGGTCCCTCCTCTGTTCCTCCTGCTCCTGCTCCCTCCTTCCGTGCCCTTTATCCTCTCGCACCACCACCTCTCCCTGCTCCTCCTCCGCATCCGCCTCCGCCTCCTCCTCCTCCTCCTCCTCCTCCTTCGGTTCTTCTTTGATCGCATCGAGTTTCATGACTGGGGCGTGCGGAATGCACATGCAGAATACATACACGGGCAAGACAATGTGGCGCCTCCGATCGCACCTTTCGGGGTGCCAGCAACCAACGCACAGCCGCGCTGCCTCCGGGAACTGACGCGTGGGCCGAACGGAACACAACAAGCGCGGGCCGGCGTGAGCTCTTTGAACGCCCGCTTCCCGTTTGGGGATGCACAAGTCGATATCCTGGCACATACATTCAGCTAGGAACGGGCAGAGCTCGGGCGGGTAGGTCTTGAGGGGTTGGGTCCGAAAGCCTCCTGTCGCGTCAACGCCGAGCGCCGTCTGGTGGCCTGCTCGATGGGTGCGCCACCTGCTCCCAAGCCTATCGCTAATCCTCCGCCCCAGCGCAGGGGCGCAAATGATCAAGAACGCGATTGGCTGCTGATGACGCACAGCCGAAGGCACGCGGCAGTGCATCTCCACGACGATGGGGCGCCTTCGTCCCACCACGGCTCCGCAGGGTGTTCCATTGCCACAGAGGTCCCGCTCGCCTGGCGCGCAGCAAAGGACAAGCACATGGAACGGAGAAGGGCGTGGCCCCGCCTTTCGAACTCGGAGAGAGCCTGGTGGCCCCGCAGCGAGCCGCTGCCCCGATCGGACCTCGGCCAGCGCCCCATGTGACGCGCCTCCCAGCGGCGCCCCGCGCTTCGCGGCGGGGCGCGCGCAAGCGGGGGGTGGGGGGGCGGGGGGGCGCGGGGGCGAGGGCCCCGTCGCCCGCTCACCCCCCCCACCCGCGTGAGCTTCAACAGATGGCGCTGCACCGCGGCGCTCACTGCGAAGGCGCCATGGTCGCCGAGCTCAGGGTCGCCCGCAACGCCCAGGGACAGAGCCGACGCCTGCTTGCTACAAGAGGCCCCGCTAAGGACCTTCTCGAGCACGCGCCTGAACCCCTCCCCCTGCTCGCCCGAAACGAAAAAAACAGCGCGAACGAGTGCGAGAGGGGGCGGCGGTCGAGTGGGGCGCGCGCCCATGCTCCGCGCCCATCCCCATCGGCGCAATAAGCGGCTCGAGGGGGCGACCAGGCTCCCGGGCCGGGGGGGGGGGGGGGGGGGGGCAAAAGCGAGGGCGTGGTTGATCGAGTTCTGCTAGCCGCTTTCTCTTCCGCACTGCCCCCTGGGCCCGCGGGCGCGCCGACCGATCGCCCCCTAGCGCCCGGCGGCTTGCAAGGGCTCGCAGGGCGGACCGGCGGGCGCGAGCTTGCGCGGGATGAATTGCGGGTGGATCTCCCAGCCGCCAGCAAGAGAGGCGGCGCCCCGCACGAACTCGTGCACCTCGCCACATTCAAAGCGAATCTTGGCCACGTGAATTCCCCGACGCACTTTGAAATTCGCAGCGCGCCCGCGATCGCGACGCGCATGGCCATGCCCGGCGTCTCTCACCATCAATGAGGGGCGTCGAAAGGCCGCCAGAGACGGCGCCCCGCGTCAGCTCGCATCTCCACGTGCCTACTCTGAAGCGCTCCTGCGCGCGCGCATGCTCGCTTCGCGGTGGCAACAATGCGCGAACTTAGAAATCAGGGGGCGCCGAGCGAACCGCGCAGACATCGTCCCCTCCGAGGGCGCGCATCTGCGCGTCCAGAAGGCTCTCGCGGGGCCAGCGCAGACCGCTCCTCGGCAGCCGCGCCCAAGAGCCGGCCCCCGTCGCCGTTCGAGCGGCGCCCTGAGCTGCCAGGGCCCCCGGGCCAACAACCGAAGGGAACGGCGGGGGCGCTTGGACCTGGGCGCCAAGTGGACCGAGGGTCGGAACCTACCAATCAACGCGCTAGCATCCGACTGCCTCTGAATGCACCGCACCTTTCGGAGCTGTTGTAAACTGCATGCCTGATGAAATCCAAGTAGACGCTCCTGAGGGCATGAGGGAGATAGGGGCTCCTGAAGACGTCCCAAAAGTTGAGCCCCCAGGGGGGACAACTTTCGAAAATTACATTTTTTCAATTTTTCCCAACTTTCCAGGCCCCCGGAAAATAACTGTTTTTCAACTTGTATTAAAAACCCATAACTTTTGTATGTGTTTCCAACTTTCGGGCCTGCCCTGAAAGTTACTTTTCGGCAACTTTTGGGAAATGGGGCGCCCCCCCCGAAAAGTTA